TATTGTGGTCATAAAACCTTAAATTCCTGTGCACAATAAAACGCAATAAAACTTTTCTTGTATTCCGCCATGGCTTAATTTAATTGCTTCATTTAAGCTCAACGGCATTTTAAGGCTTAACTTCAAATAAACGCATCAAAACTTAATTCTGTCAGCCTCAACTTCAGCCTCAGCTCGGAAAATTAACTTCTCAACTTTTGGTTGCTTTAAATGCTTGAAATTTAATCTAGTGTGGCTCTCACAAGTGCAAGATATTTTTGTTTTTTTTTTCTTTTGTTTTAATTTAGAAAAATTCCCTTTTAATTTATTTAAAAAATTTTTTTTTATTAATTTAATTTATTTAAATTCAAAAAAATATTTTAATCATTTACAATTATTTTTAATTTTGGTTTTGTTCACAAACAATTGCTTAGCCGAAACACGTCATATCGTCGGAAAAGCTACACGAAAACTGCTGGGAAATTATTTTGCCTTGTGTTCGTAAGTTGTCGTCGTTCGCAATGAACATTTGCAAACGGCAGGGAAATTTAGGTTTAGCCGAGTTTATACAAATAAATTATTTTTGCATGATTGTTTGTATATGTGTGTATGTGTGTCTGCGAAGAAATTGCGAGTTTGAGAGAATTTTTTTTGTCACTATAAAAGAAATATCTCGCATGATGTGTTTATTGCATGCGATATATTTATAATAATACACATGATATATGTATATCATACGAGTACAAAGTAATTTTATTTAATAAAATAAGATAAGATAAATAATGAGATAACTATTAAATAAAATAAGATAATATATTTAATACAAACTTATTTATAACTATCAAATAGAAGCGAAATTTTTAAGGTTCATTAAACTAAGCAAAAGTAGATTTATTTCAAACATTTAGGTTTAATTTATATTTATTTAACACAAATAAATATAAAATTATTCAATTAAATATTTAAGTGTTTAAATAAAATGTTTAATATTTTACGCAAATATATTAGAAATATAAAATAAATTTTTTTAATAAAAAATAAATATTGAAAAATACCTTTTGTAGCTGATTACCTTCATCAGTATATCAATTGCTTTGTTTTTAACCGAAAATTTTGTCAAACTTGCAAATAATTGTTTAACTTGTATCCTTGGTTGGAAAAGAAATTCTATAAAATATCTTTACATATTTTAAACATCTTAGCGGTAACCGGAAATGTTGATAGATGCAATTATGTTTATTGCACGATGGCGTTTCAGAAATTTGTAGAAGAAATCGTAGCTATTATTTTTTACAATATACGTAGTATAATTTTAATTATATTTTACAAAATTTCTTATTTTATCAAGATTGAAATGCTTTTTGCTTAAACAGTTAACTGGTTCGTAATTATGTTACAATTTCCTAATAAATATCATTACTTATGTTACGAATGTTTACATATTCATAATATTTTTATAGTCAACCCTCTATGACTACTACGTTGTACCAGACTTAAAAAAATTATTGAAAGTTAGAAGCTTTTACTAATAGAGCAATTATTTGATGATATATAAGCTTACGTTCAAGGTAAGGTTAACAAGATTAACGATAATCAATCATATCATTTTTGAGGATTAGAAAAATTGGAGCATAGGTGAATCAAAAAACCCTTGTAAGATTTAAAGCACAAAATATCAGTTCAAAAAGCAGGTATTAAAGTAATAAAAAAAGATATTGAAAATTTTCTAATTACTAACTGCAAGCTTACTTTGTTTTTCATACACTCTTCAAACCTTTTTGGCAATGAATGCTTATAACTCAAATAGTTTTATTTCAAATTAATAACTATCACATGAAACTCCAATCTTCAATAAATCATTTACACAGAATAGTTTAATATTCACATATACTTAAATAAGTGATCTAGTACCTTCTGCTCCAAAAGTATTCGGATTTTGTAAATAAAACACACAAATTTAAATTTTATTCCAAATATATTTTATCTCATTAAAAATATGCTCCTTCTATTCTATGCTTAACTTAATATTCCACACACTTTTCGTAGTCCCGTGCAGGTATGGCTTTTAGTTCCTTCAGCGAATTCTCTTTTACCGATTCAATCGACTCAAAACGCTTACCACGAAGGGGCAATTTAAGTTTTGGGAACAGGAAAAAGTCACATGGATCCAGATCCTGCGAATATGGTGCCTGAGCAATGAGCCGTGTTTGGTTAAAAAATCGCGTACAAGAATTTTGCATAATAAAAATCGATAAATGCACTTGAGGTAGTCTCACATTAACAGCTGCTGTAAACAAATTAATTGACAGATGGCGCTCAAATTTGTACCATATGTCAAGAAAGGGTGTACCAACATAACAGAAAAACAAAATTTTTTGAAAAAGGTCTATTACTTAAGGAGTAGTTAACAAACAATAAAATCCGGATACTTTTTGAGCTCAAAAAGTCTTTAAAGTGCACAACATCATTGTTGTTGCAAATTTGTCAGTTTTTGTACTTAATTCAAGCGTTTACATTATTCTTTTTCAAATAAATCTATTCGCATCTTGTACATATGATTTATGCAGTGGAAAAATATAACAAAACATACAAACTTAATTATTCCACACTTTCGCCAGTTTAAGTTTTAATAAAAATTAATAAAAATTTATAAAATTCCAATATATTTACGATTTTGTAGAATGAAACAAATTTTTATAGCATGTGATATATTTGTCGCAAACAGTATGAGTGTTTGCAAAAACCTGTTTGCTGCCTTTTTTCATAAATTAGTACAAAAGAATTTCATTGCCTTAGTTTTGTATTTGCGTCGCATACGAAATTAACTAAAATAAAACTGCATTTTTAGAAAACAAACTGCGAAAAATCCCAAAACAATTAAACAAATCTGTAGTATTTGAGTGCAAGTAAACAATTTCCCATATCAAAAATTCGCTCTGCAACGAAATGTATGCTCTCTCTCTCTGTCTCTCGCTTAACTAAACTCTCATGAAAAACTGTGCAACATAAAAACAAAACTCACGCACTTTTAACATAAATTTTGCTTTGCGCATATTTAAAAAAACAACAACATTGGAGCTTTTACTTACAATTTACTGTTGTTTTGTGTGAGTGTACGACATTTTTCGTTATTTGTTGTTGGTGTTGTTGTTGTGTAGCAATACATGTAAATATAATAATAAGCACATTAGGATATTTAAGAGGCACATAGGGGGTAGGCACATTTGCCTTACTTGCAGCCTACCTGTTGCTTAGCAACTCCAAAGAATGTCGTCTGCTGACGATTGAATGTGAATGTAGGCAGGCAGCGTTAAATATGGCGGCGCAAAACAGCAGCAGCTACAGCAGCAGAACAGCAGCAGCAGCAGTGAAAGCATTAGTAGTAGCAAGTAAGCAAATGATAACGTGATGGTGATGGGATGGTAGCGGCAGCAGTGGGAATGTTGACTTTTGTTATTGGCAAACCTTAATGACATGATGGAGCCGCAGCATCATTATCAGCGACTGGCAGCCAGCTGCTCTATGTGTTTGGCATATTGAACGTCATTCAGTTTGCGCGTTTTAATATCGTAATTAGAAAACATGAGGCGGTTAAATTTTATACATGATTTTCGTTTATAATATTTTTTTTTTTTGCCAGCGAAGTGTGTTTTCTTTCTGCGATTTGTGTTTGATAAGAGTTCAGTTTAGTTTCACATATTTCTGTGTATTCTTCCGTTAATGCTTATGTTTATTTTAACATACCCCTCGTCCCTTCCGTCGCTCAACTTGTTGGTAAATTAGCGAATTGAGGATTTTGTGCAACACATTTTTCAAGCTGAAATTATTTTAGTTACTCGTGCATATGCGCAGGGGCAAGGGGAAGCACGTATAACTCACAGCTGCTTGGTTGCTGGCTTCTGGAGTATCAAAGGTGTTAGGCAATTTATTCTGGAGCGCTTTCAAAATTGATCCAAAGTATGTGTTAGGCTCATTTGTTCTGAGCCCTGGGATTTTTATTATTTGTTTTTCTTACTCACCCCATCACCTCATCACCCCTACATTTTAACTTAATTTCTACATGTCTGTGTTGTTTTTGTTGTCGGGTTCCTTTTTTCCCTTCTTTTTCAAAATAAAAATTAAATCAAATAAATTACAAACGGGAGAAGAGATGAAGAGGGAAGAAGTTATTACTGTGGGGATACTTCGAATTTGTTGTGATTATTATCAATTGATTTGAAAATGGAGTGTGTAGCGCACATAAAAATTATTATTGTTATTATTATTATTTATTTATTATATCTTCGGTTTCGTGGCAGACTTAATTTCGCAATTCAGAAAGAAAATAAAAGAAAACAATAACAGGAAATAAGAAATCCTGAAGCTTTAATCCTTGGGGTTCTTAAATTTTATCGATTTTTCTCTTCGACAATTTAAAGATGATGACAAAAATAAAAAGGAAAACCTTCTTTCCAGAATGACGTTTTGGCTTGTAGGATTACAATGACTTTAAGAAAAGGAGTTTAACAAATATTGGAGTAATTTTTTTTTTCAAATCTTATAATAGTTTAAATAAATTAAAATGTTTTTTTTTGTTAATTGTAATATGGATATTGATATGGATTCTATTAAAATAATTAAAACATTTTACAATTCTTTTAAAAAAATGTTTCAGGTAAAAAATAATCCACAAATAAGGCAATTACACTCCTTGTGGAGTGACGCCTTGGCTTGTATGACTTTAAGAATTTAAGATATTGATTCAATATTGATGATATTGAATGTTTGTTTATTAAAAATAATTTTTTTAGTGTTTAATATTTAGAATCAAATTTTTAAACAAATTTCAATATAAATAACTGTCTTATATAGATAGTATGGCTCTAAGAGCAATTGTAATAATAATCCGCCCTAAAGTCGGAGATATTTATATTAATAACTATATAAAAATAAAAAACAGAAAACAAAACCAATTTAAAAGCTTTCATTTAATAGATTAACTCAAGCCCTGCACGTATTCATGTAAGCCCTTCAAAGTGAACTTATAAATACCCTACAAAAAATTCCATTTAGTTTATATATAATAATTTTTTATAGTTTAAATAATTATTTAATAATAGTTCAAGAAAAAAATTTTTTTTTTATTTCTTGTTTTGGTAGTAGTTTTATGACATTTTACAATTTTTTCATTCATTGTTGATACTTTATAATTTGTAATGATTTAAGTTATAATTTAATGATTTAAATAAAATAATAGTTTAAAAAACAATTGAAATCAAATGAAAAATATTAAAATCAAATGTAAGTTATATACAATAGGAATTTTTTCAGATATCTTTATAACACTTTATGACAATTTTGCTAGTGTTATACCTTTATCGTATTACACCGAAACAAATTAGCGATGTAACACATCAGTCAATAACTTAATTTCATGACTTATAAGACAAAAACACTTAAAATTCAATTTTTGTCAAGAACTTGGTCTCCTTCAAAGTATTACATTCATTCCAATGCTTATCTGACATTCTGATGTCTTTCCAAAAGAATGGTTTCTTTTTGGCAATTATAAGAGACAGATCTCATTTCCAGCTGCATATTTTTTATATAGTTATGGCCACTAAGAAAAAGGGAGATCCAAGAAATTAAACGATAGAAACCAAATTAAAGTATAATTTTTCCATCATTGTGATATAAAAAATATTTATGGAGAAGTTTTTGATATTAAAAAGTCTATAAAAGTTATTTTTATAAAATGTTTAAGTGTAACGAGACTGTTGCTTGTGTTGTCTTGTCAAATTTGTCATATTTTAGTGCTGTTATTTAGCACTTTAATGCTGTTTACTATTACTTTTGTTATATTTAAGTGTTTTGTCAGTTGTTGAAACTATATTTTAGCAGTATTATTAACTTTACTATTTCTGTTTAGAGTAGTGATGTATATTTTTAAAGGAATTACATCCATAAATTCTATTAATGAAAAATTTAAATAGTCAGTGCGGATACACTAAGTCTGAACGCTTAGGTATATCTCATAGCATTTAGTATAAGAACAAAATAATTATTCACAAGGTTATGGTGAAATGAGCATAGTAAATGCGTTATAGTCGTCTACTATATCCTTAAGTTTAAATTAAAAAATATGTCAGCAATGAGAAAAATCTTAATAAACGATCATTGCCACATTGTACTTGTTCAATCAAAAATTGTAATTTTAAGAAAGGAAGACGAGACAGAAATGTATTGTGTCAGAATCTGTAGCTTTGAAGCTAAATTAAATGGCATTAAACTTTTACCTATAGGATAATATTTATGAACACAGTTGTCTGGTAGAACACATATAGGTACAGCATTAGATGGTTTTATAATTGAAGTTACTTTTTATATAAACTGGCAATGACTTTAAAACTGTGAAATAAGTTCGAGAATATATATGATATTTAAATTTTTTTTTCTATATAAAGGCTATCTAGTTGCAGTGGTAAGTCAACAGATGATTTTCCACTGACTTCAATTAGCACTAACCATATTTTCTTATACTAATAATCAATTTGGTCTAATGATCAAAGCATTCAACTGGAAAATGTATTTGTCGTTTGGGTAAAGCACTTATTGTACTTAATTGATTTGACTCGGCATTTTACTTTTTGGAGAAAGCATTTTGTAGACGCAGAATCCATAGAAAAATCTTGCAACAATATCTTAAAACATATTCCACCCGATGACGATAAAACAAGCATTCCACATACCTTTAGATTATGCAAATCGATATTTTGAGTCAGAAGCGATCTTTCTGGGAGGATCAAAGATATCGCTTTTACTAAAAACCTATTTCTTGCCTTTGTTATATAAATAAAAAATTTTTGTCTACTTCAGAATGTTTAACTTTAGAATCAAGCAGATTCTGCAAGCATGGTGTAGAAAGCTCAACATTTGAGATATTATTAGATTATGTAAATAGATATTTTAACTTAGAATTGATCACTTTGGGAGAATGATAGATATCGATTTTATTAATTAATCTTTTCTTTGTTTTATATATAAAAGACTCTGTTTACTTTTGTTTTGTCCTTGTAGATATAAATAGTTAAGATCCAATTTCACTATACTATTGATCCATAATCTTATTGAAATAAAATCAAAATCAATTTAAGTTTGTTTTTAATAATCTGATGGAAAGTTTTTCAATTTTTCACGCTTTTTTAAATCAATTTTTAATTAAATTCGAAAATCTGTAATAAAAGGAATTGATAATCCCTTCTACGAATTGATCAACTAAAATTAATTCACTCAAAAAAAAAATTCACTTCCTTGAATGAGTTATGAGCTCTTTCGAATTGGAATTAATTGAAGAACAATGGATTTTGATTAAACAAACAGAAAAGAATAAAGGATAACTTACATTCGTAATATTCATATTTATCCGCTTCGCTGGGGGTGTTGCTACCCATGATTTTGCTAAAAACTGCAGCAATCGCACATGAAAATAAAAGTTGAAACGAAATCAATTAAAATCGCATCGAAGTTTCCTTTATCAAAGCAAAGCACACAGATTCTGCACTAAACAAACAAACTCACATTTAACAAAACCGTCACGGAAGCGTACGAAATACGAGCTGGAACGTGAGATTTCGTTCGAATTCTCCGGATGCGGAACGTTTTGTATGCAAATGATTTGTGGTTCCAGTAGCTGCGTTGCAGGTAGTGACGCTGAAGACCTTCCTCTATCTGCTAATGGTATACCCACACAACTATTTTCACTCTGCACTGTTGCTATACTTTTCCGTTGGCAAAAATTCCTGCTGTTGTGGTTGTTATTGTTGTTGTTATTGTTTCTCCTGCCGTTGCTCACCTCGAACGTCGTTTCATCTGCAAATGGAGGACAAAAAATCTGAGATTAGTAAATACTAAATTGTTTTTATCCGTTAAAGCGGAATATGCATATTTAAAAATAAAATTGAAGAAAACTGATTTTACACATAATTTTGAATATCAACAGCTCAAGCGAAAAATATTTTGCTGATTTCTACTCATAATTTATGGCACATTTAGTGTTTTATTTTCTTCCGTCATTAAGCAACTGAGAGTATCTCATGATTTACTGCAGCGAGTATTTAAAACGACATCATTTTAAAATAAGAACATTAGTTTTCATGTCCAACAAAATATTTCTATGCAGCAATTAATAGAAATTTCGTGTTTGGATTTGCTTGGGATTGCTTGGAATTGCTGAGGTTTTTCGAATGTCTTACACTTTGTGCAGAATGCAAATAAAATTAAATTAATGCCGCATTAAACAGTTCATCTGTAGATTCCGTGCCCCACATATTTCCACAGAATCTTGTTTACTTTGTTGGTCTTTCCTGGGAGCAAAAAACAAAAAAAACTGTTTTGGACATTTTGGCACGAAGCCAAAAAAAGATTCAAGCAAGTACGGGAATTAATATTAGTCGTATCTTTTTCTATTTTGGTAATAAATATTATTTGTTTCTTTGCACTTGCCTTTTTTTATTATTACTTTTTCCACTACTTTGTTTATTTTTCTGTCTACTCAAACATCAGACATTTTGTCTAACTTTTATTATCAATTTCTCATAAATTATTTTCCGATATGAATATAAACACAGGAACTAGAGATTGTGGTAACATTCCCAGTGACAAATTTTCGTAAATATTTTTCAGAATTTCCTTTCCGTCGAACTTTTCCACTTTAAGGGAAGACATTTTTTCACAGCAAATTGAAATAATCGAATGAATTTAGTATAGTCGTCGTCACCTATTCAAAATTGAAATCTAACGAATTTAATTACAAACATTGCAAAAAGAAACATAAAGAGAATAAAATTATCTGAAATATTGAATAACCAGAATAAACATTAATATCAAAATTATATTAAAACTCTATTATTATTATTATTTCATTATCATAATTTATTATTTTTTTTAGTAACTATACGAATGATGCTGGCACATCGACTTGATCATATTGTCCGAATGGAATGAAGTTGTACGGCTAGAAAGGTATTTGATATGATATTCGCTGATGGGATATGTGGTAGAGGGCGTCAGCGCTTTTGTTGGAAGGACCAAGCGATTAACGATTTCAAAGAACTTAGTGCAATCAACTGGCGAGCGCGCACCACTGTTCGGGCTATTCGGGCGTATCTACTGGACTTAGTCAGGGACATGTTATGCCTGCACAAACTTTTCAGCAAAATACTTGGATAAAAATACGCAAACATGGTAAAAACAAAAAGTATGTCAAAAATGTCAAAAACATTGAGAGTAGAAAACATTGAAACCAACATCTTATTTGCAATACAGAGAAATAAGCCGACCATCTCATCTGATCGTGGCCTGTGGTTGTCAGAAAATAGTTTACTACCTTCAGTCTGTGATCTGCAATTCAGAGACAATTTTTTGCTGTTAATAACTTTAATTTATTCAAGTTTACTTAGAAAACTCGCTCGAAGGAGAACACATAAGATCTTATAGGTCGCACTTTTTATTGCCTGTGATAATAATAACAATAACCAAAGTAATCATAATTGCACATTTGACCTAAATTTTGCTTTAATAGAGATAGAGTACAGGTTACTAATAAACATAACCTATGGTTCAAGTATTTAAAAAATTCTTATTGGTTAACTAAGCTCTTGATCAGTCCAAATAATTTTGAAAGATGTTTTGTGCTCAAAACTCATCGAATGACCAATTGTCAATGCTCGCTAATTCTGTTAACATTTGTTTTAAATCCGTTCGGAAAATTTTGCAAGATTGTTTGGATCTCAAAATTTTTTTTTCTAAAGACAATAAACAAAGGGTATTTGCACTACGATGACACACTATCTCACACTTAAGTGGCTCTTCCATAACAATCGCATTCGCCTTATTTAGTATCGTGTGACTTCCAACTTTTCCCTAGCTCAAGAGACCTCTCTGGAGAAACTGTTTTGACACGATCTAGGAATTATAACTTTTCCCTACCTCAAGAGACCTCTCTGGAGAAACTGTTTTGACACGATTTAGGAATAAAAAACTAAATCGGTGCGCTTTTTGAGGGAAACTTAAAAAATTGTATTTAGCTTTTGCCTGAAGTGATTAGATGGATAAGATAGATTTTGAGATTATACAGAAAATTAATTTTAGCTTTTGCCTGAAGTGATTAGATTGGAGAAAATGATTTGATTTGAAAAGAGAATATGATTGAAAAGTGTATTGTATCAAGAGAAGTATTATGAAGATTTCTATTCTGATACATTTATATCGGAAGAAAAGCCTCATAATTTTATATATGGAGAAAAATAAATAAATAGTATTAAAAGTTATAAGCGTATATATTTCACAAGAAAATGGGTGAAGTATTTTCAAAGACGAAAGTTTAAGTAACATAAACAGGAGAACTATGTAATAAAAATGTGTACATATAAAGGTTAGTTAATATTACGGCTCCGATTTAGGACAAATATATAGTCAAATTCCGAGAAACTACTATTAGGTGATATAAAAAGTACCGTCAGTTTTTTGGAACTAGATGATGTTGGTACAGATATATCTTGCAACACTGATTCGATAGATAATAGATAATCTATAAAAATTTCGGCCAATAAATAAAATTTTTATTTAATAATATATAAATAAATTCCTCGGTAGTTTTTATATCACATAATATATTAGTCATTGCCGTAAGTTCTTAGTGTTTACTAAAATGTTATATATAATAAATGTAAAAATATAATATTAATAAATATAAATATCTGAATAAGGAACTACTATTCTACTCTATGGTCAAATTTATCATTTCGTGAAGTGAATATGGATATTCCTGTCTTGACTATAGGACACAGAAAAAATTTGAGAACAATATATTAATATATCAAATAAAATATATTTACATTAATAATACACAACACAATCAATTTTTGAGGTCAATTATTGTTTAGTCTGATGAATTGATAAACAATAATCCAACTTAGTTCAACATAATAATAATAACAATCAATGTTTTTAAATCTTAGAAATGTTAAATAAAATTTTAATGCCTTAAAGTCGGTGAAAACAAAAATGTAATAATATGAAAAAATTTAACTAAGTAGTAAAATATTATAAAATCAATAAAATTTATAAAAACATTTTATTATTTAAAATTTATTTAATATTTATAATTTGTTTGTTCTGATAAACCAAATGATGGCTAAAGTAAACTTCCTTTTGCCATATCAAAAATTAAATATTAATATACATTCCCGTACTAAACAATCGTGTAATAAATGCTCAAATTTAAAATAGAAATTTAATTTTAAATAGACAATAATAAAACTGTAGGCAATTAAATAAAAATTTGTTTACAAACAAAAATGTTTAAATATTTAAACAAATTACAACCAACACTAAAGCTGCGTTAATTGCCAATTTAATTGCTCATACGCACAGACGGGCGTTTTTAGGTTTCAGACAAGTGCCTGCCTAAGAACACTACGGGATGCGTTCATACAAAGGGAGTCATGTTCCTAAAAATTTGGATTATACAAAAATTGAACCACTTTTACTGTTCTAAATTGCTAGACTAAATGCGGCTATGGATTGTATAGTAAGTTGGATAATTTCACTATAAAAACATTTAAAAATGTATAAATTTTAGTAGCACTTTATATTAAATTAAACAATTAATTTAATAGAATGAAAACTTTATGATTTAACTAATATTTTTCTTTGATCTCATTTTGTTATTTAAAAACGGAATATTATTATTCATATATACTACACGTTCTGTTATTAATCTTTGGATTTGTTTAACAAATTAGGAGAAAAGCTTGGAAATCATAATGGCTATATTGAAATATCTGACGAACTGAACTGAAATAAATTGTATTAAAATAATCAACATTTTGTATTCAAACTATTTCTTACATATAAACTTATATGGGTAAAGTTTATGAGAATTATAATTCCAATCAATTCTACATTTAACTGATCCTGTATTTGACAATATTCCTTTGCAAATACAAACATTAAAATACGTTTTTGTGTCCAACATATTAGCTTATCAACTATAAACTTTCATCGGTCATCGACTTATAATCATAATTAATAATAATTATTAATCATATAATTATAATTATTGTTATACTTATTAACTTTCTTGATAGCTTTCCACATTTAATTTTAATTATCTCCGCTTAATTATAAATGAATTTTGTACACTAATTAAAATTTTTTAGTGATATATCTTATAACGATATATTACAGGTAAATTTTGATAAGAAAGTAACCAAAGTAATGCTTTAGGTTTGGAACCAAAAAATAGTCGCAGGGGGCTAAATCTGAAGAATATGCTGGATGGGGTAGCAGTTCGTATCCCAATTCGTAGATTTTGGCCACAATGCTTAATCAGCACACGAAATTCACTTTTTTCCATTTTCGTAAAAATTCACAAGCTTGTCTGCTTTGAACGGTTATCAAATACTAACTGAACGACGTACCTTGCTCAAAATTTGCCCACAGGTAGATTACAGCTGACAACAGAACACAGGTAGATTACAACTGACGACAGAACTGTTGCATTTGGAGTAACTGCTCGGGAAATTCAAAAAGTCACTGAGTTATCAAATCGCCCTCTTGTAATAAAATAGTTAAGAAACTTTAGTAATTATTAGTAGCATTTCCCAAAACTGTACTTAATGGAATATATGTCGTATGCTTCGATATGTACACAACAAAAATATTTTTATTCTTTCATTATCTGAAAATCTTAATTTAAATATTTTATTTACTTAAATTTGTATTCATATAATAATATTTTCAAAATATTTGTGAATCAGATATTTATCCTATAAAATTACTTTAATTATTTTTGGTATGTTAACTTT